TATAATCAAAGGAGCATTATAAATCATACCCATGAGGCCAAAGTTTAAGATCATCCTCGCAAGGCTTAAATAGCAAGTCGGTATATGTCTTGCCATTGGAATCATTGGGGTGTAGAGGTGGAGGATTATCATCAATGACCCACATCTTGTTTCTTGCAAATCCATGATCCTCTAGGGAACCCCGACATCCAAACTTCAATTCATACACATATTAGATTAGAGCAAGTAGTAAATCAGTTAAATATCAAACGCTCTACTGCACCCAAATACAATAGAAGCATGCATACCTGTGGGAAACAAATAGGAATCCCTCCTCTCACAGCTTTTGGTGGCTTAAAAATTGCCTGCTTACATAATAGCAATGAGTAAGCCACTTCATGAAGAGAAGAAAATATTTCCCAAAATGAAATCCTGCCAACTTTTTCCATTCTTTCTTCACTCTCATTCTCTTGTATTTATCGGTTTATTGCTTTTGCAGATCATTCTCTTTTAGCAAATCAACTTTTAATAAGATAAGAACCAACCACATCGACACGCTCAAGATCCAAAATCTCATTTTCAGCAACACAACCTAAAAGTTTATGGCCCCATTTGGTAAAATAGTTAACCTATCAGCCAAGTTTGACTTGTTTGACCACTATTAGCTGTTTGACTTGGTTAAACAACCATGAGTGTTTGATTAATTAGCATTTTGTAACAGCTTATTGCTCCAAAATACTAAAATTCAAAAAGCTGCTCAAAACAACTTTTTCGATCAACTTTTTTAGAAAGTCATTTTGTATGTAATTAGCTATCAGCAAACAGCTAATTTACCAAACAACCTTTCTACAATTAGCTAATACTATCAACTAGTCAAACTCATTAACCCAATCAGCTAACAGCTATCAACTAACAACTATTTACCAAACACCCCATATATATATTAGATGAACTTAATATATAGTAAAATCCCAGAAAGGGATGATATAATTCTAGAATCTAATAATCCATTTTTTATGAACAAACTATCAATTTATAAAGAGTTTTAGATATATTTGTTGAATCATTCATCAATGCCACCAAGTGCCAATCCCCATATCCAGAAGAAACCATTAGAGCAAAAAAAAAAAAAAAAGAAAAAAAGTATATCAGTATATGATAAATGATGAGGCAAAGCACACCTTGCTACTGGTGAATAGTAATTCTTCACCATGGTCAGTCTTCCATGAAAGAACCTGTCCTCCATGTAGGCTCACCTAAGTAATAATAGCAACCTCATTAAACAAGAACTTAGCATAGATCTTAGGGAGACGGGTTCAGGAATATGCATCGCTTATTCTTAAGTTGAGAAAACTAACCCGAGCTGAAGCTCCTCTGCAATTCTGAAGCAGAACTTGATCAACTCCATTCTTATCCTTGATAACTTCTACTCCTGCTTTCAGGTCCACGTCTACTGTAGAATTATCCATTTCAAGAACACAAAATAGGTATGAATAGGAAGAAGAAAGCTTTCTCTGTAACACACCGTATACCTCTAGTGTGACTTTATACTGATCATGCTAACTAATACTAAGAAGACAAAAACACAAACACCTGGTATGCAAAAACTTAAGGCTCAGCAATCACTGCAGCAGTTGAGAATCAAAGCTTTTCCTTGACAACTTTCTTGTGACAAACAGTTATCCCGTGAAAACAAACCAAAAATCATAACTACCCCCAGTTCTTTGACTTCTTTCCCACCTCTAAAACTGCTGAAAAATTCAATTTCCCTTTAAACCCTATGCACCCACAAAGAATCTAATTTTTGTCAAGAAATGAACAAATTCTCATAAATTCAGGAGTCAATTTTTCCCCAAACACAACTCCAGATTTTAAAGAAAGAAAATCATCCACATAGTCTAGAAAACCAAGAACCCACAAGAGTTCCAAATTTATGGCCACAGAATCATAAATTTCAGCTCAATAAATTAAGGTAACTGTTTTCTTTTTCTTTCTTCAAATAGAACTTCAATAAAAGGACAGAGAATGAGCAAAGAAAACTGAACCCCAATTCACACAAATGGCCGCAAAATATACCCTTTCAGAGAGACATTGTGTCTTTTGTTTTGATACTGACTTTCAGACTTGTCTTATCCCTAATAAACAATAAAGACTCAAAGGCCAGATCTTTCTAAGACCCCAGGACCAACCAGTGGTCATCTCAATATACCTATACATATAACAAAATATTGTTTGCAGACTGAGAATCAATTTGAAGTATATTTTTTGTAATTGAGCATGCGTGATAATGGCCTGCCAATGAATCAACTTCTCAAATGTCAAAGTCTGAATGGGATTAACCGCAATAACGACCCTTGAAAGCAACAGAGGGCTCTCCACGCCAAAGAAGTTGTCAAGTTACGAGGATTGAAGCCTTCAACTCTTCAAGGGAGATGTACCACACGAATGACACGATTAATTTAACATGACTTTAGTCCAATATCAATATGGAAGGTTGCCTTCTTGCCTTGGGGAAGGCAAGGCTACCTACTTTGACTGTACCATAAAAAAGTGGCAATGAATTATCATACAAGTGAATTCACATAGTATTTTCCTATTGAGTATACAAATAGGAAAACACTATTTGAAATCTCAAATTCAACTTTGAATTTTTATTCTCACTCTAAAATTTTTGATATGAATAATTTGCTAGGGGTCACATGATGAAAAGAGTTAATTACTGAAATGGTTCATTGACTATAGCGGAATTTACCAAATTGGTTATTGATTTTTTTTTTGTTTAATTAAGTCCTCAACTTTAAAAATCTTAACCAATTTGGTCATTCGTTTGTTTAGCTATCAGGAGTTCGTTTAGGGACTAAATTGGTAATTTCGCTATAGTCAAGGGACCATTTTGGTAGTTAACTCTTCTATTTAATAACAGAGGAAATGGCGCATGTGATGATTGTAGTGGTCCCTTGACTATAGCGAAATTACCAATTTGGTCCCGAGTAAACGGACGTCTGATGGCTAAATAAGCGGAGGACCAAATTGGTTAAAACTTGTAAAACTGAAGATTTAATTAGGCAAAAAAATAGTCATAGACTAAATTGGTAATTTTGCTATAGTCAAGAGACCATTTCGGTAACTAACTCTGATAAAAATAGCCTAGCATTGTTTAAAATGTTGGCCACATTATGAACTAAAAGTGAGAGAGTAGAATTTGAAAGTATGCATAATATGATAATAGTGCATGTGATGACTATAGTGCATGTAATTACTGAAAAGGTTCATTGACTATAGTGGAATTACCAAATCGGTTATTGAATTTTTTTTTTTTTGTTTAATTAAGTCCTCAACTAGAATCTTGTCACTCTTGTCCTATAGACTTGATAGAGTAAGATGATTTTTTTTTTTTGTTCTGAGAGATAAATTTGAACTTTTTTGACTTATTTGGTTCAAAAAAAAAAAAAAAAAGAATTTATGATGAATGAAATTAAGTTTCACGAAAAGAATTAGATGAATTTTATATTATTATTTGTTAGTAGAAAATAGATTGTAAAAAATAATTAATATAAAGATTCAAATGTATATATAGCAAATATATGTAAGAATGTTGGGTAATCAAAAGGTTACAAGTTTGACTTTTCGCATGAGTGACTTATTGACTTCTTGATTTGTGCAGGACTATCGTTACTTATGGCAACTTAGGCTATTTTACCTTTGTTGGCTGAGGTTAGAATGTGAGGCTTATCCAGTACACACCTTTGGATACTAGCGACAAGTTTCCAAACAAAAAATATAGGCAAAAACTTATGTGAGACTGTGAGACCGTCTCACGGATCCTTGTCCGTGAGACGCGTCGGGTCAAGATGAAAATGTAATATTTATACTGAAAAATATAATAAAAATTAGGAAAAAAATGGTTATTACTTATATGGGAAAGTGTAATATTTTTAAATTTTGATTCAAAAATATTACATTTTTTCCTCATAAATATTACATTTTCTCTTATAAGTAACAAATACTTACCAACATCACTTATAAGGGAAAATGTAATACTTTTGATGAAAAATATAATACTTTTACATCAAATTGCAAAAGTATTACATCTTTCTTCAAAAATAACAGTGTTGCAAAAATCGCGCCTAGACGCCGATTAATCGGCGCCTAGGCGCTAGGCGGCATTGCGCCGCCGCGAAGAAGGCCGTAATCGGCCATATCCGCGGCCGGCCGCCTAGCCGGCCGAACCCCGGTTTTTTTTTTTTTTTTTTTTTTTTTTGGGTTAATCACCAAAACGACGTCGTTTTGGCGATTAACCCAAAAAAAAAAAAAAAAAAAACGCGATTCAAATCGCGATTCTGAAGACCAGAAACGGAGAAACCCTTGCAGGGCTATTCAATATTTCAGACCTCCGGCCTCCGCAGTCCGCACACCGCTCCCGCCTCCACCGGCCGCCTCCGCCTACCGCCGCACGCCGCCACACAGCGCCACACAGCCTCCCACAGTCCGCACTCCAGGTAAGCCTATTTTGGTATTCACTATTCACTGAAATTTGCTTGTATGTTTTGTATGTGCAATTGTGCAATTTGAATGTGTTGAATAATTGAATAGGATGACATCTTTTGTATGTGCAATTTGCTTGTGTGTTTATCTGTAAAAGCCTAAAAGGCTATAGTTGAATGTGTTGATTCCAAGCTTACTCTATGACTGGATTAGTAGATATCAATGCATAATTGCATATTATTATTTTAATTTTTAAATGAGTATTTTATATAGTTATATAGTTATATATTTAATTATTTATATAATTAATAATTTTCAATTGCTATATTGCTAATTTGCTATTCAATTGCTATATTGCTAATTTGCTATTGAATTGCTAATTTGCTATTCAATTGCTATATGCCTATATTGCTATTCAATTGCTAATTTGGTATTCAATTGCTATATGCCTATATTACTATATTAGTATATTGTTAATTTGTTATTCAATTTGCTAAGTATTAACTATTAAGTATTATACTATTATTAATTAGGAAATGGAATTGGGAAGTGAAGATATTTCTCAACCACCAAATCAAACTCAAAGTGTTGGATCTTCTCAACCATCTACAACGTCAACTACAATAAAAAGAAAGTCCAATGATGTAGGTTGGGACTATGGGGTACTTAATGATCCTACTAAGTCATTGGACAAGATTAAATGTCTATTGTGCAAGAAAGTAATGTCTGGTGGGGTTTATCGGATCAAAGAGCATATTGCCGGTATTTCAGGGAATGTTAGCAAATGCCCCATAGCTTCAAAAGAAGATCAAATAAAATGTAGAGATGCTCTCATTATGGCGAAGAACAAAAAAAAGAACAAGAGAGCTGAAGAACTTAATATAAGAGCGGAGGTAAACATTGGTTCACATGAGAGTTTGAGTAATACGCCTACAAATAGTATTGATGTTGATGAGTTGCAAGAGTCTGAACAAATGAGGCCACCTCGTCCAATTGGCCCTATGGATAAGTTTGCTAACCAAATCAATCCTGAAATTTCTTTGAGTTCAAGAAGGGGCCCGGCGCAACAACGTATAATTGAGGCATTTGACAAGGAGAGGGTGAACCGAGTGAAAGAGTACATATGTAGATGGGCGTATGAAGCAGCTGTTCCATTTCATGTTCTTGAGAAAGATAGCTTCAAGTTGATGATTGAAGCTGCTGGTCAATTCGGTCCGGGAGCGCAGACACCAAATAGATATGAACTGAGTGAAACATATTTGAAAAAAGAGGTTGATCGCGTCAAGGACAGTTTGAAGGAACATGAGGCATTGTGGAAACAAAATGGCTGCTCAATTATGACTGACGCATGGACAGATAGGAAGAGAAGAAGCGTCATGAACTTGTGTGTAAATTCAAGATTAGGCATTGTTTTTCTATCTTCTAAAGAATGTTCAAGTGAGGCACACACAAGTCAGTTTATATTTGAATATGTGGAGCATGGGATTAAAGAAGTTGGAGAGAACAATGGTGTACAAATTGTCACAAATAATGCCGCAAACAACATGGGAGCGGCTAAATTGTTGAAGGAGAAGAGGCCACGACTATTTTGGACATGTTGTGCAACTCATTCCATTAATTTAATGCTTGAAAGCATTGCAGGTACCTTTCAATCTTTAAATCTTTATTCTTTAATCTTTATTCTTTAACTTTAAATCTTGTAATTGTTCATACTTCATACTTCATACTTGAATCCTTTGCAGGTTTACCCCGGTTCAAAAAAGTTCTTGATCAAGCAAAGAGCTTAACTATCTTTATCTATGCACACCACAAAACATTGGCAATGATGAGAACCTATACAAAGAAACGTGACATAATTAGGCCAGGTGTGACTAGGTTTGCTTCTGCATTTCTAACTTTACAGAGTTTACTTGCTAAGAAAATTGAATTAAAGGCTATGTTTAGTAGCAATGAATGGGAGGAATGTAAGTTTGCCAACACAGTTAAAGGGAAAGCTTCCTATGCTACTGTCACGAATACTTCATTTTGGCAAGGGGTTACATTATGCTTGAATGTTTTTGTACCGTTGGTGAAGGTGCTTCGTATTGTTGATCAAGATAAAAAACTTTCAATGGGATTTGTTTATGGTGAGCTTATGCAAGCCAAAGAGGACATTAAGAAGGCACTGAATGAAGTGGTAAGAAACTATGAGCCTATTATTAAGATAGTTGAAGAAAAGATGAGCAATAGGCTAGATTCTCCTCTTCATTTGATGGCTTTCATGTTGAATCCTTATTATCATTTTAAGGATCCTCGACTTCATTTGGATGTTAATGTTTCTCTTGGATGTATTGAGTTTCTTGAAACATATTACCATGACGATTTAGAAATGCAAAACAAGGTATTGAATGATGAATTTCCCATTTACAAGAGGAAAGATTGTGTATTTGGGAAGACACTTGCGGTCAAAGGATGTGAGACAAATAATGAGCGATATGATCCGGGTAAATGAGTTACATACTAGTTTTGAATTTTAAATTAAAATTTTATATATTTTGATTTTTTATACTTAATATTGTTTATACAATTTTGATGTAGCAATGTGGTGGTCAACTTATGGTGGGACAACTCCAAACTTGCAAACAATTGCGATAAAAATTCTATCTCTTACTTCAAGTTCATCGGGTTGTGAAAGGAATTGGAGTACATTTGAAGGGGTTAGTTAAATACTTAAATCTTTACTTAGTTATTTACTTCTTTTCTATTTTAGTATTCTATTTTTGATGGAATGATATATTTGACATTTGTTTTGCATATTTATAGATACATACAAAGAAAAGAAATAGGTTGGAATCTAATCGCCTAAACCATCTAGTCTTTGTGCAATTCAATGCAAACTTGATGAACAAAAGGAAAAAAGAGCAAAATGTTGAAATATTACTTAGTAGTGATGCAACCTTCGCACAAGATTGGATTGTTGAGGATGAAGTTGAGGTTGTTGGTGAAGATGAAGTGGCTACTAATGAGGAAGGTGATGACGCATTAAGACCACGACGGAGTTCTAGATTGAGGGAGCTTGAAGAAGATAACTTTGAATCCGAAAGTGAAGAAGAAGAAGTGGTGGTTGAGTTTGAAGATGATGAAAATCAAGTGATAGATGGGCAAGTGGAAGAACAACACCTTGAAAGTTGAATACTTGCATTTGAATATTTGATATGTTGTTAGTGTTTAATTGTCATGTACTTTGTGTCTTTGTTTGAAATTTGATGACTTGAACTCTTGAAGTATGAATGTATGAACTATGGTCTATGAACTATTTTAAATTTGATGACTTGAAGTATGAATGTATGAACTATGAACTTATGAAGTGTGTAGTATGAAATTATCAATGATTCAATATTTCAATGTATGAATGTATGAGTTGTGGAATGTGGACTAATAGTCTAATGGAGTAATAGGACTATAGGACTATAGGAAATTAGGAGTATAGGAATATGGAATATGGATTAAATGAATAAAAATAATTAACTTATTTAACTATACTACTATAGACTATAGTACATTAGTACATTAGTAGTTTAGTACTATACTACATTACTACATTAGTATATTACTATACATTATAATGTTATATAATTAATAATTTACACTTTTAAATAGTTTTAAGTTTTAACCATTTTAGATATATAGGTATTAAAATTTTATAATTTTAAAAAAAAAAAAAAAAAAAAAAATCGGTGGCGCCTAGCGTGTTTTGCAACCTTGAAAAATATTGATATTGAATTTTCCTGTATAAGTAACAAATAATTTATTCTTTATTAGTACTCCGTATTACATTTTTCAGTACAAGTATTATATTTTCATATTGACTGCCCTGACCTGACCCGACCCGACTCGACCCGATCATCTTATGAATAAGGATTCGCGAAAACGGTTTCACACAAGTGTGACCCTATAATTATTATTATTATTATTATTATTATTATTTTATATATATATATATATATATATATATATATATATATATATATATATATATATATATATATATATATATATATATATATATATAAGGATAACGTTGTCTCACTATGCTCTTTTTTTTTCCCTTTTTTTTGTTTTTCATTTTTGCAAGTGAGTACGATTTTAAAATTCCATAGGGACCCATGAAAGTTTAATTCATTAATGGTTCTTTTGGAAATTTTAAAAATATTTTTTACAAATTTTTTTTTTAAATGACTTATTTTTAAAAAATAATTTAATTTTTTAATATTTGGTTCAAGGTCAATATTTTTTCCTGTTTAATTCATTTTCCTAAAAGTGAATATATTATCCTTTATCCTTTATATAATAAAGCTATATGGTTTGGGAAATAATTAATGTTACAATTAATGTCACAACATCCTTTATTATTAAAAAAAAAAAAAGGCACAACATTTAAAAAATAAAATAGCTATATATTATATAATCATATAAAAAATATACTTTTGAAAAATAAAATAGCTATATATTATATAATCATATAAAAAATATGTTCAATTAGAGTTTAAATTTACACATACAAAATTTGAAATTTGCTTTCCAAATGTAATTATCTTAGTTATTATTCGTATTGTGAAAATTATAATATAGATGAAATACAATTAAGAATAAATCAATGTAATTATGTAAATTCTCTCTATAAGTTTATTTAAATATGCACATAATTAGAGATTATATTAACCATACAAAATTATCATTTTAATATTAATTTTAATTTTAATTGTAATTTTTTATTCTATAAAAATAATAAATACTTGACCAATGGAAGCTCGACAATATTATTATATTAAATAATTTAAAATATTTTAGTTTTTCTATTTTTTATTTATATTTATAATAACATAATTTTTTCTCGTGCATCGCGCGGGTGAATTACTAGTTTGTTATAATGATAATGATAATGATAATGATAATAATAATAATAATAATGATAATAATAATAATAATAATAATAATAATAATAATAATAATAATAATAATAATAATAATAAGGGGTGTTTGGTTGGAATGAATTACATTGTCATTGAATTGCAATTCAATGAAATGATAAACTATATTATTTGGTTGGAAGGAATTTCAATTCCATATTCATTGAATTGCAATTCATAGGTCCCCCTATGTATTGCAATTCAATGAATTCATCCATACAATGAATAGGGAAAAAGAAGGAAATGACATATTTGTCCTTGAATGTTATTAATAATATTATTACATAAGAGTATTTTAGTCTTTATATCACTTCTTCCAACTCCATTATTTCTCCCTACCAAACAATGTAATTGTAACTTCTACACCAAACGCCTTGTAAGTAGTGGTAGTAATAATAATGCAGAAACTAGTTTGAAAAGATATGAGAAAGAAGATAATGGGAAAATAAAGAAGAAATTTTTTTCTTGGACTAGAATGAACCCCCTTTGCCACTAGTGAGACTCGATCCTGGTCATTCTTCCAAAGTTTCACCTCTATAACCAGTTGAGCTACTCATGCGGGTAAAAATCTTTCTTTTCATTCTCCCTATTAAATATTAATGATGGTAGCCCAAGATACCTCCCCCACCCTAATTTCCATGATCTCACTCACATAATTCTTACACTCCACTCCCACATTCTTGCTAAAAGATAAAGAAGATTTGTTATAATTTATCACCTGTCCAGAAGTAGTGACAGACTTCTCCAAAACTTCCTTTAAAACCCTTCCAATGTATTTGCTCTACAGAACATGTAGCAATCGTCTCCAAAACAAATAAGTGTGATCATTGGTGCCCCTTTAGTAATCACAACTCCAGGGATGTTACCCACCTCCTCGTATATCTTGATCATTGCACTCAAGCCCTCCAATACCAAAATGAAAAATACGGAAAAAGGGGGTCACCTTGCCTTACACCTCTTGATGGAACAATCATTCCAATTTTGTCTCCTTCATTTATGATCTTGTATGCATGGTTGAAATGCATTCCTTTATTAAAGAAATCCAATGTGCATTAAAATCCAATTTCTCTAGGATAGCCGTAAACAACATCCAATCCTACTGTAAACACGACTCTTATCCAATTTTAGGACAGTAAATCCCACCTCCCTTGAGTTTTTCACTTCAAATAGTGGTGTACCTCATATGCAATCATTATGTTGTCGGTAATAAATCTTCCTGGCACGAACACAATCAGTGCTTCCGATATCAAGTTCTCCAAAATTGAACTCATCCTATTTGCAAGCACTTTGGAACAAATCTTATACAAGACATTGCATTGTGCAATAGATCTTAAGTCTCCCATTCCCTGTTGCTTAGCAATTTTTTACACCAACACAATCTAGGTCTTGTTAATCCCTTTAGGTAAAATTTCTCTCTGAACAAAATCTTCATAGAACCGTACTATACCGTTGCCCATAACATCACAATATTGTTGATAAAAGTCCGAATTGTTGATAAAAGCCTGAATTTAGACCATCTTGTTGATAAAGGATGAGGTTTTGGACTTCATAAATTTTCTGAGGGATACAATACAGCACATGTCTCATATCTCCTTTGGAAGACTTGAAAAGATTGAGGGATACAATACAGCACATGTCTCATATCTCCTTTGGAAGACTTGAAAAGATTGTTGTAGAATTCCCACATTAACAGGGCGATTGGTCGGAGATGGGGAATTACGTGGGAAAGGAATTGCAATTTCATGGGAGATGAATTACTAGGAATAAAGTGGGGATTTAAATTCCAGTGTTTGGTTTACAGGAATAGAATTACTGGGGATTTCAATTCCAATGTTTGGTATACATGAGAATTGAAAATGAATATAGTATAAAGTAAAAAATGTCCATTGTTGTTGTTAGGCATTAATTTTAGGTTAAAAAATGAAGGGATAATTTTGACTCATCACTATCTTTTGTTCTTCCTAAAATCACAGGAATTAAAATCTCAAAGGACATGAGATTTTAATTCCATGAAAATGGGGGAATTGCAATTCCTTTGAATTACAATTCCTTTCAACCAAACAAGAAAATTTTGTGGCCTTTGAAATTAAGTGGGAAGGAAATTTACAACCAAAAGTCCTGTAAATTGTTCAGATTACTCTCTTTTTCCACTCAATTGCCTTACTCGTCCTTTAGCCATGTGATTGTGTTGTTCCGTCTACGACGTATGACTGTGAGTTATGAAAGAATGTTGTGTTTAGGTCACCTTCCGTCAACCGAAACTCTTTGGACCACTATCTCCGATGGGTGTCCTATTGCTCTAGGGCCAGCAAATAGAACCTCTGTGCTTCGGCAAAAGAATCCACCCCTCTTCGATCTATTCAATGTCTGTATTTTAATTTTACTTTGAAGCTATTAATGCCTCCCCGTACTCTTAGTACCACGGAAAAGGTTCACAAGCTCACAGTTCAAGACCAAATGCATGTAATCAAGACCTATTTCAAAAGGAATTCTGCAAGGAGAGTGCAGACATCATTCATAGGATTCCGATTCAAGAGAAAATGTCGGAAATCAAACTTACAGGACATTTTAAATCTTATGTTCTTTTTATGCATATTTTTTTTAAACAGATGTTAAAATTAAATTCATTAAAAACCTTATAGTGACGAACTATCAAGAAAAGTCAAAAACTTTGGGTAAAATGTGAAACACAAGAGCCTTAGCTCTTTGATTAAAGGTGGGTGAACGTGAAGATTTGTCCCTTTTGCAAGGGGGAAGCAGATGTTGGAGTTTTCTGCACTGTGGATATACGGTTTGGAACGAAAAGGAAAAACCAAGGTTCTGTATCGTGTATAACACACTACCTTAAAAACATTTATGACCAGGGATTGAGTCGCATGTTTTCGACAGGCAAAACAGAACAAACTCGCAGGCAATAAACAATATGCAAGCTGACAGAATTTCGAAAGCAATAGCAGTAGCGTTCTACACTGTTTCTGTGTGTTTCTCACCATTCTGACAGCATGTATTTATAATACAATGTAGCAGAAGTGTAGCATCATCCCACCTCTCACTACCCACCTTTGTAGTGCTACAAAATAGCAGTAGACCAACTCTGCACACTCCTTCATGGAGTGGGAAAAAAGGTTTTGGGAGGCACACTCCTTCATGGAGTGGGAAAAAAAGTTTTGGGAGCAAAACGTTGACCCCACCACACGCCGTGCCGAGCCGAGCGGCGGCGGC